ACACACAGTGTACGGTCTTTACAGTTAGAACACATGGATTAAACATACAAATGGGCCACATAGACTGGTGACTTTGGATAAGTTATTTACTTTCTTTAAGCTTCAGTTATCTCTGTTTAAAATGGAGTTGAAATTTCAAGATTTTTTTTAAAGAAATAATTGCAATAATCTAAATGAAAGTACTCTAAAAATCCTGTGGCACTTAATATGTGTTAAGAAGACCTATTTTATTTACTTTATTCTTCTTTTAGTTGGAATTAATTCCTAGCTCTGGGAAGGATATTCATAGTAATTGTGATTTAGCAAAAGCATTATTTATTCAAGTGAAGTACTAAGAACTTTTGTATTTTATCTCATTTAATCCTTATAACACACCTATGAAACTTTTATCTTTATTCCCAAATAAACAACTAGGGTCACTGAAGTTATACTTTAAATATATTCTTATAGCTGGCAAATAGTCTACCTGAAATTAAAGTCTATTCTTCTAAACAGATTACTACAAAGCCTATATTAGATTAGAAACACACAGAGACAGTAATTACCTGCCTTTAGTTAATAGGATATGAATAAATTGACATAATAAAACAAAATTAACTACCTCTTTTTACACTGTTTAATATATCCAGGTACAGAATATAACTCCAATATATCCTATTTAATTTGATTAAAAGTTTAGCTGATAAGCAATGAATCACTGATACAGTTTTGGGAGACTTCCACTACTATCTGTATGTCCAACTTACCTCTGATTTTCATACAGCCTTATTCACACTCAGAATGGGTGGAATATAAAAAAATATTAGCAACTGCCATTGTTGTAATCCAAGAAAATCAGCATTTCTGTAAACATTTCCTCTCTTTGGACAAATTTGCCTTTGATTGTCAATGTTTTTGTCTTTTATCTCTCATTTTATCCAGAGTGTTTCTTTGACTATAGAGAGTAAGAAAGGACCAAATATATAAAAGAGAAAAAAAAATATGAGAAGGTGTTTAAAAACTCTCTGGTATGGTTTC